CATCACGTAACAGACTTGCTAAATTATGTCTGTGCCAGAACATTGGTCACAGTCTGCAGTCCCCTGAACCCACAGCAGTGCTTTGGAGAAGATAAATCACTCCTGAGGTGATGCCATACACTCTGACTGCTGCACATCTCTATTAAAGCACAGCTAGAAACAATTCAGCAATGCCAACAGTAACCACAGCTTCCAAAGCCCCCTTCCCCTAATGGGCATTAAGCTTACAGAGCTACCAGCCCTGCTCTTCCAGCCCCAGTTGTTCATGGACATGTTCATAGTGCTGGCAGAGCAGTCTAGACTGTGAAACATCAAATAAGCTGGAAAACCAGCCCAGTTGATGGATAGTTTACCATTCACCTATTACTTCGCTCCACAGCAACATACAACACTACAAATGGGGCCATGAAGAGAAAGCTTTTTAACAGCAACACCAAGTTAAAGCATTTACTGAAACGTACAGTATCTGCTGTGTTGGCTGATTCCATGTGCATTGGTTTCCTTACTTTTGATGTGAAAAACATGCTGGTTACAGCATAATGCTACTACAACTTTGAGACTATGCTTTAGATGATACCAGCAATGATCTCAGCAGATGTATCTATTTTCTTATAAAACTTTAACTATTGTCTTTTAGCAGCAGTTGGGGAAAAACTGGAATTTCAGAGCCTTCCCATTTATAATGAACCAGAGTCAGCTTTACATCACATTCTGTCTGCGTTAACAGAAGACACTGGCAGTACTTCCCTTTCTGCTCTCAGTTGGAGCAGCCAGGTCCCACACCCTATTCAGCACTAGGACCATAGTCAGTGCTTGACTGAATTCATCAACAGGAGCATTTTCGTGTTACCACAACAAGTTAACTTTTTTCTTCTGTATCTCTTGAAGATACAGAGAACTAAGAAAGAGGACAAAAGTTAAATTTGTATTTGTTCTTATTTGAAGACTGAGAAGGTGATTGGTCTAAACAAAGATGTCTTTACCACAAGGGTACTGTACTTCATGTCTAAAGAAAAGGCAACTGGAGCATTTTACAGCAGCACAGACAGTGAGATAATCTACTACTACTGTCATAAGCATGTAACAGAAGCAGTAGTGTTGCTTGAGGTGTTGTTTATAGCAGCTTTACTTCTGCAGGAATAGAAGACATTTTAACAGCAACACCACTTAAGTTCTAACTCTTTCTTACCTTTCAAAGTCTGAATATTTATCAGCTTACCCTTTTCTTTTGACTTCAGAAAGCAAGCTACTTTCAGCTTCAGAACTGTAGATATTTTGAAACATAACCTGGTTATTATCAAGTGATACACAAGATCACACTAAGACACACATATCCTGATACACATGCTTGAAGTTTGAGGACCTCTTGGCAAAAGGCAAGTGAAGTGAAAAGAACATATGGCAAAAGCCCACCAGTGACATCCAGCAGGGCACACACTGAATTAGCACACAGTTCTTCTGTCAGATTCAATGCTGAATAAAGCTGTTTATGCTCTGCATCTTCCACTTAAATTAGTAACCTAGTAACACAAGATGGTATTTTCAAATGTTATTTTATCAAAAAAGCAACTATGATGTGGAGTTCCGTGCCCATTTACGAGCAACAACCTTGAACAGAGGCCTTTGAAGTGGAAGATACTTTGACACTGGACAAAAGCAGCAGTACTCCATAATCAAGGCACAGAATATCCTGCCTTGTACATGGTACAATAAGGTATAATCTCCTGCATGAACACAAGACAAGCAATTTATAGCAATTATGCAGCCATTTAGACTTTAGAAATGCCTGAGCCTTACCCACACCAGATACACTGCAAATGTTGAAGAAAAAAGGAGAATTGATGTAAAGGGTTTTCTGCTTTACTCGTTCCCTAACCTTTTCTCCTCTGAAGCAACAAGGAAGCAAGTGAGCAGTGGAGAAGGGACAAAGAACAACCTCCCACAGCTGCACCATCAGTTTCTGTACAAGAGACAACAGCCTTTTTCTAGCTTTGAAGATAGCACTATCTTAAGTTACCACAGGCAAGTTATGGAAGTCACAACACACAGCAGATGACTTTGGGGGGGGAGTGAGGAAAGCTCGCTTTTGTTGGGGGATTTTGGTGTGCTTTTTTTTGTTGTTGTTTCTTTCAGGTTTTGTTTCTTTGGGGTTTTTTTAATCAAGGCCAGTGAACCTTAAGTTGCTTTGGAAAACAATTTTTTTTTTTTTTAAACCCAAACAGCTTGAAACCATCTGATCTGAGTGGGTAATACAAGTCAACCTGCAGATAACAATTGCTGAAGTGTATTACGGCAGCAGCAAACTTTATTCTGGCCTGTGCCTTTCCTCATGATAGCAACTACTCTTGAAACATGCACAGCAAATATTACACCTATTGTGTACAACTTTCTGATTTTCTAATGCTCAGTTCCATGAGAAGACTTGATAAGAGTCATATTTAGTTCCATATTCGACAATGAGCTACACTCTAGAGCTGGTTATTATTTTGGGCCCATGTGCTGACTTATTCCACTCAAAAATCTGGTACCTTGCAGTACTGACATTGAGCAGAGTTGGAGTGAGCTTGTCAAGCTACCAAACAGCTCATACTCTGACAGCAGGTATCTTAAGCAGGTGTAGAGTATAAACACAGAGTAGAAGGTTTTGCTTCCATTCTAATGTGCATTTTCGTCTAATCTCCAGAAGTCCTTTTCTTTAGGTAACTGATGTGCTTACACAGCCTATTCCACACGACACCTCAGTTTGCTCACATGCTTGTGTTTGATACCACAACAAGTGAGATTTACCCAAGGAGGTTTTCCTGCCTCCTCCCCCCAGCTGGATGTTGTTAGGACTACCTATGAATAAATCACTGTTGAGCCACTTAAAACTAATGCTGCCCAAGAGAGAAGATGGGTAGCTATGGAAGTGGATCGGGACAAGTGCCAGCCTGCAGATGAAGCCTGGGTGCACACAATGCACTGCTGTGGGAGGCACTGAGAGAAATATCACACAAAAAGAAGCATAAGTGTTTGATACCATACAGGAAAACATCACTCTGCAACACCAAAGGCTCCAAACCCTCTGTTATATCTCACAGTACAGGAGCTCAAAGACAAACCAGAGAGATGAAAACATTTTTCACATGTTGAAACTGCTACTTACTGCCACAGGAAGCCACAAGACATTAATGAGATGGACTTTTTATTCAGGGGATGATCAAAACCAGCCAGAGCCCTCTTAAAATGAGTCTTGTTAAAGGAACTTAAGCATTCAGATTCAAGGTTTAAACCAAGTTTAGCCATAGGAAATTGCAGTGGAGCCTAATTTGATAGAGGGGATTATCCCAAATTTAATATCTGTGATTATCCCAAGTTTAACACCCGTAAGTTTATTTTTTTCTGAACCACCTCATCTCAGCTATTCTTAGAAAGAGGCCATGAGATCAGACAAGCCTCAGGCCAATTCTCATGGAAATGACAGGCAGAGAAAACTTGTGTCATTCCTCAGTCAATGACTACCACAAAATATTCATGTGGGGGACAGAGACTGCTGTCTACATAGATTTAGCATTTCTCATCACCCAATTCAGTATTTACTACTCCACTTTCAAGTAGCATTACAGGGTTTGCCCACACCACCACCCCCAGGATACAGGATTCAACTGATACCAACACCCATAACACTTTAAAAACAAAGCCTGTTCCAAAAGCCTAAGAACTGCACAATCTCTTCTTCATAAAGTATTCAGTTATTTTTTGCCTATCTCTATACTGCTAGTACTGTTTACACTCCACACTTAGATTAATTAACACATCATGATGGTTACAGCAAGTGCTGCTTAAAATTTTATTGAGTATTAAATAACACTGAAGACACACTAAAGACTTGAGTTTTACAAGGAAACTTGATCATTCCCTCATTCTCATTGAAGACTGAAAAGCATTTATCAGCAAACGTTATTTCCATGTGGAAATTTCAGATCTCACAGAATCAACTGAGTTGGAAAAGACTTCAAGATCATCGAGTCCAACCTGTAACCAATAACCACCTGGTCAACCAGACCAATGGCACCAAGTGCTACGTCCAGTCCTTCCTTAAACACCTACAGGGACGGCGACTCCACCACCTCCCTGGGCAGCCCCTTTCAATATTTAATCATCTTTTCTGTGAAGAAATTCCTCCCAACGTCCAACCTAAACCTCCTCGGCACGTCTTAAGGCTGTGTCCTCTCGTCCTGTCACTGGTTGCCTGGGAGAAGAGCCCGACCCCCACCTGGCTACACCCCCCCTAATAAATAAACACCAACATTTGCGCCAAACAGCACTAATGAGCTGGGCCCACCAAGGCAAAACCACTCTTCCTGCTGGAAAAGAAAAGAAGCTCACTAGGGGAGCCTACGACAGCAGTTTTGAAAGGTATGGGGGGCCAGGAGAGCGGGCTGGAGGGCGGACAGCCCGGGCACACGTGCCCAGCACCGGCAAAGACACAACGCCGGGTGCATCGCAGGGGCAGCGCGATAAAACAGCCCGAAACTCTGCCCGCCGGTGTAGCAACAAAAACACCCCGATGAAAACACCCACTTCCCCTGCGCCCCCACGAGCCGAACGCGGCGGGGCGGGCCCCGGCCCCAGGCCCAGTGCCCAGCCCGCACCTCCGCCCCGCCCGGGCCGGACCGTGCGGCCTCCGCAGCCCCGCACCGCCGGGCCCGCCCCGCCGCCGGCCCAGCAGGGAGGCTCACGGCGGTGCGCGGGGCCCAGGCGGTGCCCCAGGCTGGCCGTGCCCCGGGCCGACCCCGCGGGCCGCTCCCCGCGCGCGGTGCCCCCTCACCCTCACCATGGTCGCGCCGCCGCCGCCCCCGCCAGCGACGCCCGGTCATGTGACTGCGCCGCGCGCCGCCCCGCCCCCGCCGTCGCGCCGCGCCCTCCCCATTGGCCCGCCGTCCGCGAGCGCCGCGCAACGCTCCGATTGGCCGGAGGGGCCGGTGATTGACGGCCCGGCCGGCCAGTCGCGGGGCGGCGCGCGCGGGGCAGCGCGCGGCGGGCCATGGAGCGCGGGGCCGTGAGGGACATGGCGGCCAGGCTGGGGCTGCGCGGCACCGCCCTGCTCGGGTACCGCGGGGTGCGGGACACCGGGACACACACCGCGGGGTGCGGGACACCGGGACACACACCGCGGGGATCGGGACACCGGGACACACACCGCGGGGATGCGGGACACCGGGACACACACCGCGGGGATCGGGACACCGGGACACACACCGCGGGGATCGGGACACCGGGACACACACCGCGGGGACCGGGACACCGGGACACACACCGCGGGGACCAGGGACACCGGGACACACACCGCGGGGATCAGGGACACCGGGACACACACCGCGGGGATCAGGGACACCGGGACACACACCGCGGGGACCAGGGACACGCTCTGCGCCGTCTACCCCCGGCTCCGCACCCCCGCACAGCGCTGTCCGGTTGTGGGTGTGGTGGAGCCGCGCACCCCAAGGCAGGCGGGGTCGGTGAAAGGTGGCTGACCCTGCAGTGCAGTCCGGCTGCACATCACCAGAGAACACACCACCTGGTCCCCGAGCGTGTGCTGCAGCCGGGGAGCTGGGCTGAGAAACCTGGGAGCGGGTCCCGTCCGCACATTCTTACTGTCTCGTACCTGTTAACGAGGGCTTTGTGTTTTGCAGGAAAGCCGAGGAGTATCTGCGGCTGTCCCAGGTGAAGTGCACGGGGTTAATGGCTCAAATGACGGCGACGAGCAGCGCTGTGATGTGCCTGGACCTGGCGGCGAGTTTCATGAAACAACCGATTGACAGAGTAAGATGTGGTGGCTGTCAGTGCATTCTGTGTTAGTCCACTGAAATCATTGTTCTGTGAAGCGTATGCTGGGAGCAGGAAAGGGAAATAATAATTGACTTACTAGTGTGCTGCTAGACACAGCGTTAGAGTTTTCACTGTTCAGAATTTGAAACAGGGCAAATTGAGATCAGTGTCATAGTCACTTCTCAAGTTGAGTTTGCTTTGGTATAATTTCAGCTCTTTCAGTAACAAATACATTACTAGCAGGGATGTTAAATTTAAGATCTATCCCTTTTACTGTGGGGGGGAAGCAGGGGCTCCAAGGAATCCCTGTCTGTAGAGGTACCATAAACCTCCACCTGCACAGCTGCCAAAATAATGCCTGGCACAAGATGTTCATCGTTGTCTGTTTACAGACAGAGGAGAATTTAATTGGACCTGACCCCATGAGGAGTAGCAGGAAGGTGATGCTCATGTCTTCAAGTTGCCCAGATTTTGCTAATCCTTGTTTTTAACCATGTTGTGATAAAAGGGACACATCACATTATATGGAAATATCCAACCTTGTTTCCAGTGAAATGGTCTAAAAATATCACTGTGTTAAAAGCTGTGGCATTCCTAGGTGGTTAATCTTTCTCTGTGCATTATTCATTGCACAAATTTGTTTAATGTAGCAATTGAACTTTATGGTGTTGTGTTGATTGCCTGATTAAGATGTCAGGAAGGAATCTTGCTAATTCTTGGGGTTTGTCTTCTTGAAAGAGCTACTGTGTTAAACTCTCCGGGTTGAACAAGAACACCTACCAGAACTCTATGAAGTCCTTGGAGTGTTTGCTGGAGGTGAACCCCAGGCTGGGAATGCGAGACTTGGCTGTGCAATTTTGCTGCACAGAGGCAGTGAACATGGCTGCAGAAATACTTCAGAGGTGAGGAAGCTCTCGTGGTAAACTCTAGTAAGATTCTTTGTTCATTAAATGTGTAAAGAGCTTGATGTTTGGAAGGGGCAGATATTCCTCACTGACTGGAGCAGTGAGGTGAGTTCTTAGCACTGCCAATTCAGCCATGATCCAGGCCACTTTTTAGAATACATGGAAGAAAGACTTAGTCTGTGAATCTCAGTAAGTCATTGTCTGACTGTTCAGCTGGGAATAGTGTAAAAAATACAGCACTCTTAGTCCCCATAATTGTCCTTAGCATCAGAGTGTCATCCATTTAACTGCTGATCACAGCACAGTTCAGAAGTAATGCTCAGTAGAGAGAAATCCTCCCTTCTGGAGACACAGATCTCTTAAAATGCACATTACCTGCAAAACAAATAGGTAGAACACTTCAGTGGATTCAAGAGAGTTAACTAAAATTTTCTATTCCATAATACCTACTTTAACCAGAGCAGTCCCTGAAGGGCTCTGTTCTGCTGTGCTGTCACCCTTATAGCATGTTTAAATGCTGCTAGGTCAATGAATAAAGGCTGGGCATGCTTGTTGATGCTTCTTACAAACTGGAAAAAAATAGCCTGGGGACAGGTGGAACAATAAAAAGTTAAATTCTTCAGTGCTGCACATTCACTATGTTGTTTTCCATATTTAAGCCTCCATCT